AATTACTTTTATTGCTACTGCTACCCATGTACCAAGATTCTCATTTTTTTCCTGTGATAGCTTTATCGAAAGATTATAGACCCTCTTTAACTTAAAATTAGATTTGACAGCTTCAAATCTGATTTTATCAGGACCAATTGGATCAAAAAAGTATGCCTCAAGATTCTCTGAATGCTCTTCCTCATGTGTATTTTTAATCAGTAATATAGCCCAATGGGTCGTTTCAAATCTGATGGGTAGAATGATAAAGCGACTATCATACTTCATTGATAGGTCTAGAAACCTTCTCAAATAGTCAGAGTGATTTTCAATGGAAACATTTGAACTCGCCCAAGAGTTAGCATCATCTTCGGATAGAAAACGTCTCATTTCATCATCAACGTAACCATTCGTATCTGCAGATTCGGAATTTTCCTTAACGTCAACATCCATTACTGGTAAGACATCATCTAATTGATCATTGATGTCGCATTTTGTATATAGTAAATATCCAATGTTATCACAGTCTAGCCCGTGGTCCATTTCATTTTCACTTGTTCTATCTTCAGCTTCAATGCATTCTTCGTCATTAATTCCTTCTGGAGCTGGCTCTAGTTTCCTCTTGCTATTGGTGTTAAGATTTGTATCAATGGCTTTGATACATTGTTCCATCTCCATTTTCATATAAGCAAGTAGCATTTGTGATTTCTGTGGTTTATCTATGAACTTTGTACAGTCAGTTACAATAATTACTGCTTCCACAATAGCTGTTACTGATGCTGAAGTCCATGTGTGATTAATTTGCCAACCTTCCATATTTACTGATAATTTAACCAGATCACATGAATGAAAAAACTCTCGAAGGATACTTTGGAGACAATCGAAATCTTTCTTCCTGATATCCTCATCAAGATTTTGACTTCCTCTGCGCGAATGAGTTGCATAAGCATAGATAGGTTCCTGCGGGCCATTTTTAAATATCACCATTGAAATACTATCTCCAGCATTAGTACGTATAGGCACAATAAGAAAATGTTTGATAAGATTTGAAGTTTTTATTCGTAATTTATGATATTCTATTTCTTCCTTCAGCAACGAAGTGTTTTCAAGGTCACTAATTGATAAGATTGCATACGTGTATAATTCTTCGTAGCTGGAAAAAAAAATTGAAATTGTTAGCCGATAATGATTTAGGAAATGAAAGGAAAGCTTTTCCCTAATTTTTGCGTTCATGATGTCATCTTTTTTATTCATCATGCTGATTTTTATTAATTTATCTATACTGTCTTTGTAATTATCTCGTCCAAATACAGGTGTAGTCAGCATAGCTTGAATGAAGTCTATTATCCATGCTTCACAATCGCAAGATGCATTTGGTTGTAAATTGCTGGAGTCTAGATGGGAATTCAAAAAGTGTGCTCTTGTTTTTAGACTATTTGAATCTTGCTTTATCACCGTTGTCATCCAATGAGTTTGCTTGAATTTGAGAAGAAAAATTAAAAATTGTTTCCTTTTTGCCTCTGCGATGGAGTCTTGTATTTTACTGAGTAAATCTTTGCGTTCTTTATCATCGTCGAGGTTGAGTACTTTAATTTTAATGCTATATGTATGATCTATTTTATCATGAAAATAACTATTATTCAAAGAAGATAATATTTTATCTCGTAAAGAATCCATTTCGGCCTACTTTTAGTCTTTACAGAGTTTACAAGCTCGTTGTTATGTGCATTGATCGTCTTCGATTAATACTGACGGCAACTTATAATTACATTATAGCGCAAAAACTGCATCACGGGATAGCACATTAAGAGGATAGAGACATTAGCATATAAATTAATTAACAGGAGCGTGCATATAAAGGATAGGTGATTATCGAAAGTAAGTCACTGGTTCACGCGTTCATTTATTCGACAACAATAAGATAGTACGCCTTCAAGATATCAAGTAGCTAATGCGGTATAAAAGTTATGTAAACATCGAAATCGATTTATTATTACCACGTAGTTTATATTTCTCCTGTATGATTTAACCGTGCTTGCCGTCATATTATAACGCAATGACTACAGTAGCTGTGTATTTAATTAGTTTGTTATTGATTCTGTGTCGGAATGCGGCGGTTGGATCACTCAATATCTAAAATGTAGTATGAGTGAAGGCTCTACGGTAGTTTATGTAATGGGTGTTTATTTCCTATTTTGTCTCACGGCTTGTAGCCCTTACAGAGAAGAACAGCTAAATACATGTGTTCCCTTACACGCGGTCCTTGCCTTAAATAATGACCTACTTATCGCAGCCGATCTACTTTAGGCTTAACCAAGACCGTATACCTTTACTGTAACTGATTACTATATACTGACATCCCAGCTAGTATCGTAATCGATATGAACAGCACATACACTAATATATAGTTATCTAACATTGCAATACCTTATTCCATATCGCTAGTAACAGAAGATCTACAACTACATCTAAACTATCATTAGTACCGTATCCTACATATAATAATACCTAGGCTAAATTTATTGATAAAATTATATGAAACCAAACCTGATTTATTTGTTTGCTTCGTAGCTTATATTTTTCCTGTTTGATTTAATCATACTTACTGTTATTTTATTCCATACAGAACAGATACCGGATGAAGAAACAGCTGAAGTTGTCAAAGTTGAAGAAGAAGTACATTCAGAAGAATCGGCTGAAGCTACAGAAACGAAAGAGCATAAATCTAGTGAAGAAGCAACCGAAATAGTAAAAGTTGCGGAACCTTCGAAAGAATTAACTGAAGCTACAGAAGCGGAAGAGTATATATCTGATGAAGCAACTGAAATTGTAAAAGCTGAAGAACAAGCACCTTCGGAAGAATCAACTGAAGCTACAGAAATTAAAGAGCATGCATCCGATGAAGAAGCAGAAGAATCGGCTGAAGTCGTACAAGCAGAAGAACAAATAACATCATAAGAACCAGCTGAAATTGTAGAAGCTGAAGAACAAATAACTTCACAAGAACCAACTGAAACCTTAGAAGCTGAAGAACGAATAACTTCAGAAGAACCAGCTGAAATTGTAAAAGCTGAAGAACAAATGATTTCACAAGAACCAGCTGAAATTGTAGAAGCTGAAGAACAAATAAGTTCAGAAGAGCCAGTGAAG